TGGCCTGGGCAGTGGGGGGTTATCCTGGACCTTCTCCAGGCTGGGAAGGGTCATGTGCCTCCCCCCCCACCCCGGTACCTCCCGACCAGTTGCCTCTGCATCAGAGCCCCCTCCAGTCCATGCAGCCACTGCTAAGGTCTTCCTAGCCACTTCTTCAGGCTCTATCATCTGCCCCAAATCCCTCTATTGGCTCCTTCTCCACTACACCAAGTTCAAAGACTCTTGCCACCACCTTCAAAGACTCTGAGTTCTGTCCATCCTCTTACTGACCTGTTTTATTCCCTCACTCAAAGGCTACGTCTAGATTTTATCCCTTTTTTCTAGATGCAGATCTTTCGGAAAATAAAGCCTTTTCTGAAAGATCCCTTATCCCTCTTAAAATAAGGGATAAGGGATCTTTCGGAAAAGGCTTTATTTTCTGAAAGATTCGTGTCTAGACTGGCGCTTTTTTCCAGCAAAGCTCCGCGCCGAAAAAAAGCGGCAGCCATTTTTATGCTAACGAAGCGGGGGAGATTTAAATCCCCGCTTCATTAGCAATTGCAATACGTCTAATTTGCATCCCTTTTACGAAAAAGGGATGCAATCTAGATGTAGCCAAACAGAAAGACCAACCTGAAGGCCCCATGTCAGGCTCCTGAGCTTCCTTCCACGTGTACCCTCAACCCATGGAATAGCCTTTCATAGAGAGCCCACAAATCTCTCCCCATCTGGATCAGATCTTGTATTGGTTTGTGAGCTCCTCAGGAAAGAGACCAGGCCCTTTTATCACAAAGGAGGTTTCATGGCATTCGAGACTCAGGGATCGTTTCAATGGATAAAGACATTTCTCCTCAAAACAAAATGGCATTTGGATTAAAAGACTTTAATTTCTGTTTTTAAGTTAAGCCGAGGCACGTCCGACTCTTCCGCTGTGGAGAGGTCAATGCTCCCACAAGACTCTGATCCACAAGGAACGAGGAGGAAACATTTATAAACGCTCCTCTCTATGAGTTAACCCACACAAGTGCCCATTTAAATCAGGCCTCATCATCTGCCAGCTCCAAAAGGACTCTTTGTTGTGAGGCTGCACGGCAAGTTATGATTTATTTTTAAGTTAGTGCAAAATCGTTGCTTAGTCACCCACAAGAAAAACACATCAAATCTGATTAGAAGGTGGAATTTAAAATTCCTTCTCCCCACCCCACAAGAGATTATCCCAGAAATAGGATTTCAAAACAATTCCTAGAGCAATGCAAGCTTTGGCTCTTGCTCAAAAAGGGCCATGTCTAGATCAAAGGGAGAGACCTTCTAGCAGAGCTCCAACACCTTTTCCCTAAACAGCAAGGACCAAGGATTTTTGTCTGAGAAATACGGTAGATAGTAGGGATGTAAAATCCCGTTTAACCGATTAAACAAGGGTATGAAAGGGGGCCCCATGGGTGGGGGTGGCTCCAGTTAGGCTGGAGCGTCCCCTGCAGGGCTGGCAGCCCACTGGTTAATCGTAACCGGTAAGGACTACCCGGTAAGAACAATGCTTACCGATTAACCATTCCCATCCCTAGTAGACATGGCATAGAGCAGGGGTTCTCAAACGTCATCGTACCATGACCCCCTTCTGACAACACAATTCCAGGATGGGGGAACCAGAGACCACGCCCCACCACCCAAGGTAGACAGGCTACAGCTGAAGCCCAAGGGCTCGTCCTGCACAGAGGGCATGTAACCTTAGACCCGGGGAGCGGGGCTTGAGCTTTGGCTACAGACTTGCTGGACTCCAGGGCCAAACACCAGCCTTGGCAACTCCATTCAAGTTGGTCGGGACCCACTTCGGGGCCCCAGCCTGCAATCTGAAACCCCCCTGGTACAGAGCCTTGCAGAACCTAGCAGAGCAGAATGAAATCCTTTCCTTCCGCTGGGGAAGGGTAACGTGTGGCGCACAGAGCGAGCTGCAAGTATGTAATGAGAGACAACCTGCTGGAATGGGGCAAGACAGCTTCAAGCACATGCATGCCTGGAGCACAGGCGACGTTCACCTGCATGCACAGAGCCGACCACTTAATCAGCGCATTGATCTTGAGCGGGCTCTCCGTACAGACCTCGCTTCCGAGGGAGTGTTCTAGTCACTTAAGGTATGTCTGCAATCAGACCCCCCCCCCGTAATGAGAGACAACCTGCTGGAATGGGGCAAGACAGCTTCAAGCACATGCATGCCTGGAGCACAGGCGACGTTCACCTGCATGCACAGAGCCGACCACTTAATCAGCGCATTGATCTTGAGCGGGCTCTCCGTACAGACCTCGCTTCCGAGGGAGTGTTCTAGTCACTTAAGGTATGTCTGCAATCAGACCCCCCCCCCCCCCCCCCCCCTCGCTCTC